CATGACCCCTTTAAGACACTGCTCCCTTGGACTTGGCTGTTGCCTCGCTTCAGCTTCCTCACTTCAGCTCTAAGCCTTGGTTACTATAGATTCACCTGTGGGCCTCTCATGCATTATGGAATATATTCCCTGCTCCTTGGAACCCACTTGCATCATGTGTCCTTCCAGCCAGTCTCTAGCAGTGGAAAACAGAACTGGGGAGGAAGATGATAGGAGAAAGAAACTATGGAAAGGACACAGGCTTGGGACTAAAACAACCTGTTTAAGAAATGCTCTTAAGGGGTGCCTGGGTGGCTCAGCATCTGCCTTTGGCTCAGGTCATGGTACCAGGGTCCTGGGATGGAGCCCCGCATCGGACTCCCTGTTCAGCGGGAAGCTTGCTTCTCCCTCTCCTGCTCCCCCTGCTTGTGCTGTCTCTCTCTCTGTCAAATAAATAAAATCTTTAAAAAAATGATGTTAATTTGTTTAATACCATCAGTTCTCTGCAAGGGTGACATAATTGCACAGTCATGCAACTATCTTTAAGAAGGTGCTGTGGGCGAACTGTACTTTTTAAGGCATGGTAAATATGTTTCAGTACAAATGAGTAGCATGAGTAGCAAAACTGCTCAAAGTCTATGCTCAACGGTGTTTTGCATAAAAGTAGCACCACATCAAAATATTGACAGTTCCAAAATACCATCCATACTCTCTAATTTTATCCACTAAAAAAATTGCTGTTGGGACCTGTTGTTGTTGTTGTTGTTTAAGTGTAATACTCATGACTTTAATCATCTGTTTCATGCTGTCTTTGAATATAATGACAACAAAAATTCACTTGTTATTTTTTTCCTTTATTTTTTTGTGTGAAGATAATGCAGCAATTTTTTAACTTTAATGTGACACCACGTGCCTGTATCATGATCTGCTGTGTGCTTTTTGGCAAGTAATTTGTTAAAGTGGTAAAACTTGGCAATGATTTACAAAGGAGAGTAGATTTAGAGTTAGTCATTTTCATTTACTTCCATTCAGTGACATATTCATGGACTAACAAGAAAGAGTTGAGGTTACAATTAACTTGTGGACTCTCTAACCCACAGTCCATCTTCCCTATAACCTCACCCATATCTAGGAAAACCTGTGAAGTCTGTGGACATCGGACTAGTGTACCACTGCAGAAAAAAGGTCAATGATCTAACAAGTGTCTTTTATAAATCCTCACAAATCAATCTTTATACATTCATATTTCATCCCTTATCAACTTGAAAATTTTAGATTGTATTCTTCCTGAGCCATCATTTCCTTTGCTCATCCTAGGATGTTAATCCAGAATTTATATTCTGTGATTTTTAGATCATTAAGTCCTTTTATAAAAGATTTAATTTATTTGAAAGAGAAAGAGTGAGAGGCAAGCAGCAGTGGGGGTGGGGGAAGCTGAGGGAGAGGGAGAAGCAGACTCTTCTCAGCAGGAAGCCTGATGTGGGACTTGATCCCAGGACCCTGGGATCATGACCTGAACCTAAGGTAGACGCTTTACCAACTGAGCCACCCAGGCACCCCTTGATCATTAAGTCTTGATATAATTACTTCTTCCTCCATTCCAATCAACCTATGATGGGGGAAAAAATTCTTTCCTTATGCTTTACTCCTCAGTCCATCTGTCCTAATGGACCAGTTTTAAAGAATATCTTGATCACACTGGCCTTGAAACCAAAAAAGGGGAACAAAAAAAAAAAAAAAGATAAGTCAACCCACATCACTGTAAACTGAAAACCCCAAAAAAGCACTCAGAAGGAGAGGATCAGGCTGAAACCAGAAATTACACCATTTGGGCAAATCTCAAGATTGTCAAATTGTCTGACAGCAATTAGAGAACATATTCTCCCTTACATGTTCTCCCTGTATCTTAGGGGATAGAAACCTAAGAACTGAGAGTGGTTTGCATTTCCCCAAATCCCTGCCAGCAAGGCTAGAGTTATAGTCCACAAATGGGAGATATTCACATGAATTTTGAAAAGCAAAAGAGAAGCAAAAGGCATTGTTTAGTCTATGGCAGGGGAAGTGGGCAGGAGCCCATTATGGGCTTAGCAGGAGGCAATAAGATTTTTTCGATGGAAATCTAGTTGACACATATTATATTAGTTTCAGATGTACAACACAGTGTTTGGACAAGTCCATAGGTTCTGCTGTGTTCACCACAAGTGTAGTTACTATTTGCCACCATACAAAGTGATTACAAAACCATTGATCATATTCCCTGAACTCTACTTTTTATCTCGACTTATTCATTCCATAACTGGAAGCCTGTACCTCCCATTCCCCTTTACCCATTTTGCCCATGTCCCACCACCCTCCACTCTGGCAACCATCAGTTTGTTCTCTGTATTTATGAGCTTGCTCCTGCTTTTTGTGTTCTGGTTCTTAGATTCCCTATACAAGTAAAATCATATGGTATTTGTTTTCCTCTGTCTGAACTTATTTCACTAGGCATCATAGCCTTCCATATTGGGTCCGTCCATGTTATCACATATGGCAAAATCTCATTATTTGTTATGGCTGAGTAATATTCCACTGTGTGCATTTGTGTGTGTGTCCATTAATCTATCAATAGACATTAGGAGACAATGATATTTTAATAGATAAACCTGTACTCTTTCCTGTGCATCGTCCACTCTCTGTTGTAGGCACCGGTAGTGGTTTCATGTAATCTTGTATTTCCTGGTTTCTTCAATGCCAGTGGCAGCTTTTCCTTACCTTCACTTCTCCAGTTCTTTGAGTGATTTTGCAAGATTTTAATTTCCTGTATTAAATGAATTTTTGCTGGAAATACCTAGCATGGCTTCTTTTTAGTTATCTGAATCATGACTAGTAAAGTGTACTAGCCTCTCCATGCTTCCCTTGTGCAAGGTTCTAGAAAATTTTGAGTGAACCCAAAATGGAGTATATGTATAGAGCCCTTTCCAATTATGCAAGTGTCTATACTCAAGGCCTTCAGTAAAAACTTTAATCCTGAACAAATACATATCTTTTCTGGACTCCTGGATGGCTAAAACCTGACTTTCCTACAAATTGCATAACAAAACTAGGATAAGTTTATGGCTTACAATCTTACAGATCTACCTCCAAATCTTGGCTTTAATATTTACTTGACTCATTGACTCAGATTCCTTGATGGATATTTATTGATCACTAATTGGTGCCAGAAGCCACAAGTACCTGTGCTACCACAATGATTAAAAGAACCCCTGTCCCCCTCCCTCATATGCTTAAAATCTAGCAGCAAAGATTATAGAAAGAGAATTTGCAAGGGATAGAACATATAAGTAGAGTCAGGTACTAAAGAGTCTTCCAAATCACAGAAAGGTTTTGACTTTACCATAAGAATGATGAGGAGACATTGAAGAGTTTTCATCAGAAGAGTGATTTGATAAAATTTTAGTTTTTGAAAAATCACTGGCAAGTGGGTAAAAGGTGAATTGGATAGGAAGATGACTGGATGTAGAGAGACAAGTCAGGAAGCTGCAACATTAAACCAGATGAGAGAGTACCGGTCTGGGGAGATAATCACAGCCTGAACCATGGTGGGGAGCATAAAGAGGAAGAAAAATGAACTGATTCAAGCAACATCCAGGAATGGGAACAAAATGTGGGAATTGGACGTGGTGATAAAGAGACACAAGAATGAAGGGTGACTCCAAAGTGTAAGGCTTTAGGGAACTAGATGAATAGAAGCATCATGATTAGAAAAGAAATACAGGAAAACAAAGTAGAGGTGAAGCAGGGTGTGGATCAAAATGGCAGGTTCTGTTTTAGACATGTTGGATTTAATCTGCTGACCATGCAGACATGTCAGGTCAGCTGATGGAAATAGGTTTGAAGTTTAGAAAAAAGTTCTGGTCTTAAAGATTCAAACACTGTCAAAATACGGATCATAGTTGCAGCCACAGGAGTGAGTACATTGACTCACATTCATGTACAGAAAGGAAAGAGAGCTAAACTGTCTAGGAGTCATCATCATTATTACTTTTTTTTTTATTATGTTAAACCTTACTATTTCATCTTGGACAAAAAATCTGAGATAAAATATCACAATTTTTCTATAATTTCCCACATTTTTTTTTATTTGAACAGATAAAATCACTACATAAAAGGTTATTTTGTTAATGAGTTAACAGAACTAATTAGATCACATATGTTAATTGGATCATTAATTGGATTCTAATAATATACTACTACAACTGTGATACAGTAACATACACATTTCCTACAGGGTAAGAATTCTCCAAGAGAAAAAGAAAACCCTTTTAATCACAATTATCTATTAACATCCTAAGCAAAGAAACTGCTGTTTACAGGACAAAGAGCTTCTTCTTGGATAGTTAGGTCAAGTCCAACAGAAAAATCAATTTGTCCATTGCATGATATATTACATACATATTATTTTTTGTTTATTTCTTAGTCTTTCACTGTTTTCATCCTTTTCAGTATTCCACTGAAGTCCATGTCAAGTCCACATCAGGAGCTTTATTCTTCATCGGAAATAATTCAACAAGAGCCATGGTATAAATTTTAAATATATCCATAAAATAAAACTCTCCAGTTTATAAAGTTAATGTGTGTAACTAAACATAATATTCATATTGAAGCTTTTTAAAATTTAAGAAATCTATTCACAAATTCAGTCATACTGACAAAATGTGATTACAATAAAATTTCTTTAACAGCATCCAAAGAAGTACAAATATTTTAACAGCTCAGTGAGCTTTCATAAACATACTAGTGTTTTAAGCATCTTTGGCGGGTGCTATTGAAATAAAAATTGTGTTCACAAAATTATTCAGTGAAATATACTCTAACATCTACACTCTATTATTTATAGGTAAAATTTTATTATGTATATATTCATAAATTATCCAAAATACATAGCTAGGTATCTTGAGAGGAAGATAATTTTTATTTAAATTGGTCCAAATAGTACTTTTGCAATGCTTTTAATATTTCTTACTAAGTGGTTCCATTTTGATGAAATTATATTGTTTTATTAATTCTGAATGGGTCCATGGAAGATGAATTTCAAAAAATAACACTGCAGTGTTCTGTAAACACATTAGAGCTATGTATCTGTGCTAAAACTATTTACAAATAACCACAAAATGTTGCAAAACACCACTAAAATTATTTCCTAATCTGAATTAATTTTTAGTGAAGACAAACTCAGTTCCAACATAGAAATAATACATGTTCAAAAAGATATAACAATTAGAAGTGATTAAAAGTTTTGTGTTGTATGCTTATCTGTTATGTAAATAGCATCTATATAAAGCAGCATAACTTGAAATGAGAAGCTGAATGACGGTTTACATTTCTATAATTCTGAGAAGTTCATCCTTGCCTTCCTAGTTGAAGAAAGTTTTCACTAAATGTGCATTTGGTTTTAAGAACAACAGGCTAACTGAGTGTTAATGATTTTCCCTATCACTGGCCCAAATACTAATTACATAGCAAATTTCAGCTTATTTCCTGGAAGTCGTTCAAATAGTTGAACAACTGTAGTTCAATGCTCCCTGAAGGATTAGTGCGTAGGAAGAATAATTCTTTAAAAAAATACAATAAAGAAGAACCTGCGGCAACCTAGGGAAAGTGGTCTTGGGTGGTCTTTCCATCAGATGAGGGGACAGTGAACAGCGCATCACCCCCCAACCCCATCAACACCCTAATATGATTTGAAAGACAAATTATTCAGCCACAAATTTTTAGCAATGCTAATTATCCCAATAATCCCAATGCTAATAATCCCAACCTCATTCAGGTTTCCTTCATTCAGGGAAACAGTCAAAAGCCTTTGTCTCTGCTTTTACCCAGACTTTGACCCACCATCCAAGCAACTTAGGCAAACCGTGTCTTGTATCTTTGAATATGAGTATCTTTACCCAGGCGCTGCCAACCAGATTTCCACAAATTCCACTGCAGAGGCTTCCATTCCGATTCTCCTTTTCTTCCTTAAAGTGGGAAATCAGGATGCACCCGAGAGCCCTCCTCAACCAGATTTATAGCTCTGGGAAGAATTCATCTACAGATTTTCAAATCAGAGCTTCCTTAAACGTTGGTAGCCTCTGTGAAAGAGTCATGGGGGCCAATGTTCTTTTTCACTTCCAGATTCTTTTTAGTCTTGCATGTCACGGACACCTCAGAGTGGATGGCATCCAGCCTCTGCTCACAGCGGAAGGCTGCGAGGAAAGCCTTTCTATAGTTGCTGTTCATCCAGCCATAGAGGAGGGGGTTGGCAAAGGTGGAGCACATGGCAATGATATGGAACACAGTGAAGATGAGCTTGTACTCCTTCAGGTCGAGGACTTGGTTGTCAATGTCCACAGCGAGCTGGAACGCGTGGAGAGGCAACCAGCTGACCGCAAACACCACGACCACACACACCAGCATCTTGGTGGTTTTCTGCCTTCGCTGGTGGTAGTGATCATTGGCAGCTCCGGGGCTCACGTGGTTCTTAAGTTTACTCCAGATACGAGTGTAGGAGAAGGAGATGATGCCCAGAGGCAAAAGATACAGGATTAACAAGGAAGAAAGACTGTAGACCGTGCCATAGATGTTCTTCTCCTCGCCAGGCCACTTCTCTGTACAGACCATGATCTCAAAGTCGGGAATAATTTCAATCAATGAATACTCGCGGAAGATGGCCAGGGGGCTGGCCAGCAGGGCGCTGATGCCCCAGGCCAGGCCGATAATCAGGAAGCTGATTCTCTTGGAGATCTTGCTCTCCAGGTGGTACACAATGCAACGGTGTCGGTCCAAGGCAATTACTGTCAAGGTGATGGTGGACACTTGTACCGCCAGGCCCTGGGCGTAGGGTACCAGGTGGCATAGGATGAGACCCATTTTCCACTCCCCCATTAAGGTGTAGGTCAGAGTGAATGGCAAGCACAGGGTGTTTACCAGAAGATCTGCCACCGCCAGATTGGCAATGAAAAAGTTGGTTACGGTGCGCATGCTCTTGAATTTGATCACCACGTGAATCACCAGAGAGTTTCCAATGACCCCAAGCAAGATGATGGAGCAGTAGGCTAATATGAGGATAATCCGTACCTCAATCAGCATGGTGCTGTCTATCAGCTCTGGCTCAGGGTCAGGGGCCAGCTCACCTCTGGGAGTGGTTTGCCTTGGATGATATTTCTCTACTTTCATTTCTTCCACTGTCTGGTTCTCATCAGCCTCCGCACCTACTGGGCCCATTTTCAGCTACCAGAAAAAGAATCTACAACTAAAAAAAGAAAAAGAAAAAAAAAAAAAAAAAAGATGTAGAAGAAATATGGAACAAGGAAAATATACATCATAAATGGACTGGCTTCATTTTGCTGAGGCTCAAAATGCCTGTCTCCTGATACCTAAAATTTCACAGAGTATACCATTTTAAGAAAGCAGGCCCAATAATAAGTCTATTCACAAATACGGATGTGTTAAACCAGGTCCCTGAAACATGTATTACCGGTGGTAAAATGTAATACCTCTAGTATAGACAGAATTTCACCACGAATGCTATCAAATGGATTCAACCTATTTTAAGTGGGATGAATGTTAGAAACTTTACCAATTAATTTTATAACTCTGACAAATTCATCAAATTCATCAAATTTCTGACAAGGAAAATGGCCTTCAATATCTTGACTGCTTTAAATGTATAAATATAGCAACAAATTACACAGAAAAGAGAAGAATATTAAAACACTTTGCAGGGTGCCTGGACTTCGGGAGTATAACATATTTAAGATAAACTGAGCAGATTCCACTCCATAACCATTTCTTCTCATGTTTGGATTAGTGTTAAAAATAGGTAGACTGTATAAAATAGTTGCATTTTTTTTAATAGTTGCATTTTTTGATGATTTGGAATCAACTTCCTACTGACATACAGCAGAATCCCACCCAGGATCTATGGAGAAAATTTATCCAAATCTTAATTAAGTATATATCTCTCTCTAATCTCTAAATACCAAAGTTTTCACACTTTTCTTCCCCAGTTGCACCCCACCCAAAGCTTTTCCTTCTGCATGCCCTACTTCAGTCAATGCTATCCCCATGGATTACACCAGGTACAGTTAAAAAGCAGGCAACCGTTCTAGGCTTTGTCAACTCCTTTAGCCACCACATATAAGAGAGCCCTCAGACTGATCTGGTATACCTCTCTCAATACTCCTCATCATTTCTACCACATTGACTTTGTACTTCTCAGGTTCTTACCACTGTTATTCTAATAGTCTTCTGACTTATCTCACTTCTTCTTCTCCTACTTTCATTCATTCATTCATTCATTCTTAACAATAATAATTGAGCATCTGCAAAATGCCAGGCCTGGACCCACCCTTGTGATGCTTACACTTACTCTAACATGCATTCAGCTAGCATTTGAAAACCTATGTCAGGAACCAGGATTTGTGCTGGGGGAATGACAAGAGGACAGCATGTCCACTCTCAGGCTCTTACCTTTGACAAGAAAGAGCCTACTCTGACATGAAAAGTGTTGTTCTGAAATTCAAATGTGATCATATCATTTCCCCCATGTCTCCAGATTGCTTAAAACAATATAACATATTGGTTACTAATGTGAAATTCTCTTTTCAAGCTTGTAAAAACATCCAGAGCCCAACATCATAGTAAGTTTTGAATGTAGTCATAATGACAAAAGGCTGCCACCATTAATTCAGAACTTCTTTTAAATAAATTTGGTTTTTACTAATCATAATGACATCTACCTACTTTGGCAGGTGAGTCATATTTATTCAGCCCACAGACAATGCCTGGGTGGGCCCCCAGCCTCCACTCCTTACCCTTCCTCTGGAGGGTTAACTCTTGCAGACTGTATTTTCCGGCTCCCAAGTCATTCGGATGCTGGCTGAGTATGATCACAGGAGGCACTGGCAGATATTTAAAGGACAGAAGAAGGGAGAAGCCCCTGTCTTCTTCTCTGTCCCTCTCTCCTCTGGGCAGTGCTTCAGTAGCCCCTCTGTGCCTCTGGTTCCCACAGGATTAGTCCATAGTGATTCTATTTCCCGTGGATGGCCCTGGTCCCTGGGCTTTGGTCACACCACCTACTCTCCGTGTCCCTCTGGCTGGGGATAGTAATGACTCTTTGCTCTTGCTAATCCTTGAGTGGCGTCAATAGCCTCTGTTCGGCTTATCGCTTGTGGAATCAATTATCTGCATTTAATTTCCCCTCCCTCACATTCTCGAACAGGTTCTGTTTTGCATGATCTGCTGTTACCATGCATATATGATGTCATTAATTTGCTCTCCCACTAATGGTTCTGCACGTGTACATTGATAACACTGGCCTATAAAAGATAATCCCAACTCCATTAGATGACATTCAGCGCTTTTCTTGAATGAATTCCTGGCTTCATCCTTCCTGACATATCAAATGCATATGTTATGCTTTACTCATACTAAACTATTTCCAATTCCAGCAATGCATCAGCTTTTCTCATGCCTCTCTGCTTTCTCCATTCTGAACTGGGAAGCCTCTCAGTTACCCCAGAAATCTGTGTCCACTTCTAATACTGCAAGAAGCATAAGCCACAATGCAATTATTTCCTCACGTAGTCTCTTTCAGGACAGAAACTGGATCTTTTCCATCCATAGTTTAATCCTTAGCACACTACCTAACACATTGATGGTACTCAATAATTTGGTAAAACAAACGTGAAGGTAAAGGAAAGCATAATTTTACCAAACACTTGAAGTCAACAAAATTCAAAGTAATAATTCTTTTCCTTTCCTTAAGATAATTGCTTATACGGAATTCCTTTGCTCTGATATGACATTCTTGTGCTTATTTTCTGGTTCTCACTCAGGTAACCACCTCTGCAAGACTTGTTCCAAGGTTCCTCTTAAATCAGTCTCTGATTAGAGCATTAAAAAATTCCAGTCAGTGTACACCATAAGGAAACTTCCTATCTCATGGGCCTCTCTCTCTCTCTCTCTCTCACACACACACACACACACCCTTTCGGAGTCTTACTTGCAGAGAGAGAGAGAGATTTCTATATACTCATATATTTGCTTCATTGACATGTTCTAGTTCTGTCTGCATAAATTTCAAATAATGTGTTCCTAGACCTTCTTTTGTATTTGCCTCCATTCTCTAGAAATTAGGGGGAAAAAAGTGAAACTCATTATCTAAATCTTGAAGTGTGTATTTGGTAGGCTGCACCACTTCCCTGAACCTAAAGGAGACTTTACAGAGCACAGTTAGTCAATCCTGACAACTCATTAATAGGAATAGCAAGACTCCATGAGGTCTGAGTTTGAGGTTTGCCATGAGCTAAATTGAAAGTAAGCATGAGAGAGAAGAATATTAGTTTATTAACTTATTTTGGTTTTTCTTTTCAGTTCCATTTTCTTTATTTCAGAGCCCCTTTACTTAAAAGCTTCTCTACAGGAATGGTTATTGATCTACAGGCAATTTGCATATGGGCACTAATCACTGTTTTAAAGCACACAGCTGGCTTTCAGCCAGGTCAGAGCACTCCTGAGAATGTATTATTTTAGGGTTGGGCTTCCAGAAAAGTGGAAGAGGAAAAGGGAGTCCATAGAGGGAGCTGACTGATTCAAAACTTAAAAGCACAACAATTAAAAATGAGTCGATGAGGGAAAAAACACTTTATTTGAAACAAGGCAATGGAAAGCATTCACATGGGTCAAATCATTTTAGAACTGTAAATGGTAACGTTTTCTTGAATAACTGAATCTTCAGAGTTTCTGTTGCAGAAATATTTCTTTGTAGGATAGGAAAATGAATTAAGGCTTTTTTTTTTTTTTTAATTTGCGGGGCTTTTTGCAACAGTACTCTTATTACCACAGGTGGCTTAATAAAACTTAATATCTTGTCAATCACAAAACCTTCCAGGAGTGTTTCTCAGGCAAAAAGTTCCCAGGAATTATGCCTTACAGCCCATACTTGTTAGTCCTAGAGAGAGGGGAGTGGACTCCAAGAATGCTACATACAAGACATGATTGTTTGCTTCATAAGCAGAAAGTTGAAACTAGTCACCTAAAGGTCTGGTAATGGATCACTTTCTTTGTGTTTGAACTTCTGGCCTTTGCTTGCCAACAGCATTGTCTATTTCATGTCACTGAATTTAAATGATGTGCCCCACTGCAAAATGTCTTAAAGCTTTTAATTTTGCCTCCTCCTCGTGCACCATATGCTCCTACCCAGTGGGTGAGCCCTTCTGGTGCAAAACCAGTGAATGCTTAAATAAATGTACTTGTTCTTGAACAGCTTTAGCGAATCCAATATGACCTTCAGCTTTAGACAGGTGTTTGATTAAAAAGAGGTGGGGAACAGAAACCTTAACAACTTGCTGCTCTGGAAAGATGATGACCTCTCTCTAAGTAGGTCAAGGCAAGAGTAAAAACCTTCAGCAGAAAAGGAAAATTCTAGCTAAAGTAGAAAATGGTGATGGTACCACCCCAACCCCCACCTTCAGGCTAAAGGAGAGTGGGGCGGGGGGAAATTCCGCACACTAGTGAGGATCTCTCCCATACCTTCTTCACAGGACTAGAACTCTTCTTTTGTGGGTATTCTCCTTCCCAGAATGTGAATCAGAGTTAGGACTTACACTTACTTCCCCAGCGCGGGCGTTTCTGCTGAGACGTGGAAGCCAGACGTGCACAGCCGGTCCGTGCGATGATTAACCAGCCGTGGGATCCGAAGAGGCCACTAGAAGGTCCCCAGGGGCAAGCCCAGTTGTGCTGCGTCCTTTCCGACGGTGCAGGACCGTCAGCGCCCCGCGGAGCCACGCGGAGAGAGGCGGCAGCGCGGCGTCCGCCCAGCACCCGAGCCGCCGGGAGCTGGCGCTGCTCGGCTCTGCCGCGGACCTCTGCGGCCAGGCGCGCTCGGGCACCGCACTGCGCCGCGCACAGCAGCTGGGTGAGCGGGTGAGGATGCCAGGCCGGTGGGGGGCGGAGGCACGGGGGTGGAGGGTGCGGCAACTCTTCCCAGGAAGGAAGAGAAACAGGTGCAGAAGGTGGGGGGCGACAGTTCCGCAGCACCAAGGGCTGGACGGAAGTTTCCGTGGCGAAGGAGGGGGACAGTGTCTACAGTGTCGCCTCTGCCTCCCGGTTTGGAAGCCCGCGCGGCGGGACCCTGCTCAGCGCGGCGCCCCCTCGCGGATCCCCACCCCACTAACACGGGTAAACTGCTACTTTGAGCCCACTTCCCAGGTGACCCCCAAGTGTGATACTCTGAGCGTGTGCACCACCCCAATTTCCTTCCCCTTCCACAAACCCCTCCCTTTGCTCTCCGCTCCTCAGTTTCGCGGTGAGAAGCTCCTGGAGTCGGGGTTCACCAAACTGGCCAGGGAAAAGTCGAAGGCGAAAGCGACTGTGGGGCGCCCACCCAGCCTCGGAGGAGGGTGGTGCGGTCCCTGGCGCAGCGAGCAGGAGGAGACCTCGGGCTTGCAGGGGGCCGATGCCGAGGCAGAAGCTCTCACCTTGGAAGGGCTGAGAAAATCCCACAACTTCGACCAGGAGTTGTTTCTTCTGTTTGTTTATTTGCTCACAGGAGCAGAGGTGGGGAGCTGGACCCGCGCAGAACCGTAGAAAAACGCCGCACAGTTATGCCAAGGACAAACCCTGGGTACCCTCGCCCGGGGCTGGAGCGCAGGGCGCCGGTGCTCTAACCGGGCGGTCGCTGCGCTCCAGCGAGGAGGTAAAGCGAGTTCAGATGCTTTTGCCCACCGTTGGTAATTCCTTTCACAGGTGCCTGCTGACAGTTTACAAGTTAGGTATTGCGAGTTCAGATTCAAAAGCCCGCGGGCAGTCTGTGGGCTGTGCGCTCTGGCTCCCGGCAAAAGCTCTCTAGGAAGAGAACACACTGCGAGACAAACGAATCACAGTCTCTTTCTCCAGTTAGTTGATTTCCCGATCCTTCGCTCTTCGATCATGACCAAAGCCACTTGTGCCACTATGAGTGCGAGCCTCTGGAATTCTTTTTTTGGAGAAGCCCTCAGCTAATGCCTTGAGCCCAGTGAGCTGAGGTAGCGCATCAGAGCAGAACAGGACGGTGGCGTCAGTCCACAACGCTGCAGAGTCTGTTTCCTCGAGATTGCTCCCGGGAAGCTCTATTTAGAGCCATTCCTTAGAGAAATTTACAACCAACCTTTCTTTCCCTTGTTCATTTTTAGAGAAAATTTTTAGATTTTCATTCTTATCTGGGCTTGCCCACATCCTAGTAATACTGCGTATGTAAGGATCTTCACACAGTGTAATCTGAAATTGATCATCCGGTTAATGTAGAATTATGCCACAGTAGCATATTTATGTATAAAAGAAAGGCATTTGGGCTTTTCAATTACCAAGAAACAAAACTAAACAGAACTGCAAATGTCCAGGATGTTCTACATAGTTCTACTTAAAATATGTCGGTAGATATACTTACCTTGGGGAAATATTCCTTGCTCATACATGTGTTTTATGCAACAAATTCAGCACTTCCTAAATATATTTGCCCCTGTGAAGAGTGAACTCTGTACTAAGGAGTTGAAATTTTGGAAGACTAGGAATGGCTTGAAATAACAACAGCAAAAACATATAAGAAAACAGACAAGCAATCAGATTAATTGCCTTGGAGGGCTCAACTGACTTGACTGATATTGATTCTATGAACATTTTTGCCTCCATTACAATTGGCTTTCAAAAGCTGCCTAGGACTCTTATACAAATATTTATCATAATTATTCCCATACAGACATGTGCACGTTTTAGGAAACACATAGTTCCACAGCAACTCCAAGAAGATTAAATGATCTCTTTGCCTCTCTTCCAGTAAAGTACAGAACCGAATGAAACACTGATCTATTGAAGTTAAAGTTGCTTTATCGCTTGTCAAATTATCAAGGGTAGTTTTGGTAGTTAAATCATGATATTTTTGTGCATTAAGGTCTAACTGATACCTTTTGATGTGCATATGCTCTGTGCTATGAGAACAGGAACCACTCTGATGAATGCCAATAAACCCTATTGAGATGCTGATAGAAGTTTGTGGAAGCAGTGGTGAAATGCAGATTAATCCAAATTGAGATAGGCCAGGATTGGTCTGCCTGATTTCTCTGGTGTCAAATCATTTAGTTCCTCAGGCAGTTCCGCAGCTTAGAAGAATAGATGTCGACTGTTCCTCAAATAGGATGAGGACTCAAACTCAGATGCCTACCAGACTAGGGCCAATGACATAAATGCATACACCAGCTAAGCTGTGGGAGACAGTGGGGAGTGGTGGGTGTTAATAATACCGTTGAAAGCACAAAAGTACATGCCTTTTCTGAAGGAGGAGGCTGCTGATTCCACTGAGTTTCCTTGTAAAAATTTAAATTCAGTATTGTCAGATCTGACATTTTAAGAGAACAAAAATTCATGTTCTTAAACATCTTCCAAATTTTCAAGGAAAGAAATTAATTCTTGAAAAGTCAAGCCCCCAGGCGGGTCAGATCTATGCAGGCCAAAATAGAGATGGGTAGATAACCCACAGTCTGGTCTGTGGGCCTCCAATAGGGCCGCCTCTGATACGAGTATGTGATGTTTGATGGACCTCCTCAAGCACATTAGACATGGCTCACCATTTCCCCTCCCCCACAAACCATTCCTCAGTGCTCATAAATATAAAAGTAATACAACCATAGATTAATTGCCAAATAAGTAACTTTTTTTTCCACTTTGAGTTGAATAGGTATTTTCAGTGAGACTCCAAAGTAAAGGACTTGGCGAATAACTGAACGATCAGTATTTTATGTTGTTATGATGAAGAAATTTCAGACAAACTCTTTGTAAGACAAGACAAAGTTAGAGAACATTAGTATAGAAGAATATTTATGATGCTTTTTTTTTTTAGATGAAGTACATCATGATATGGATTTCCTCAGTCTAAATTTATTTTGAAAGCAAGGAAGCTTCCCCCACCCCATGGTGTAAATAATTTTATTGTTTAAAGTAACTTACAACCATTATAAAAAGCAAAAACAGGGGGAAAAAAACATAGAAAGAAATACACATGATCTATAAAACATTGCTGTCCAATAGAACTTTCTGTAATGATGGTAATGTTCTATATCTGTATTGTCCAATAAAATAACCACCTAGCTACTTTTGGGCATTTGGCTTTTGGGCACTTGAAATAAGGCTAGTGAAAGGAAACTGAATTTTAAACTTTTTTTTAAAAGCACCAAAAACAAAAAGTGTGTTTTGATTCCTAATGGAAATTCTTCCTGTGGTCATTCCTGCCAGAAAGCTAGCTTTTTTTTTTTTTTTTTTTTCTCACCTTAATGTCAAGTTTTCCTGAAAGACTTTTTATTTAAAAATATTTTTATTTTTTTATTTGAGGGAAAGAGAGAGAGTGAGTGAGAGAGCGGGGATGGGGAGGATGGGGTTCAGAGGAAGGGGAAGAGAGAGTCTCAAGCAGACTCCCCGCTGAGTGAGGAGAGCAAGCCCAACTTGGGGCTCAGCCCAACAACCCTGAGATCATGACCTGATCTGAAACCAAGAGTCAGACCTTCAGCCAACTGAGCCACCAAGGCGTCCCCTGCTCTTCCTGAAAGACTATTAAATAACTCTCAAGTCATACCAAACTGAATTAAATCCTGGTCAAAACAAAACATTGCAGTGCAGCTGGAGTGTGGAAGCTGATTCCAGAAGGAGAAAGAAGTAAGCTCCACAGCACCAAAAGAGAGAGCAGCAAGCCCAGACAAAGAATTCTCTAAACCCCAGTAATGTAAGAAAAGCTCAGTGATGCTAATAAAATAATGTACTTAACTCTGACTAAACAAAAGAAGCTTAATAGCAAGTCCCTAGTTAGGAAATTTTAATAATCAAATTAGCTTAACAGTTATAGTGTTTAGGATATTTGAAACTGATTCTGTCTTGCTTTATTTAAGTGTTCAACAAATTCAGTTATTTATTTGTCCTTAGGTTTATTAAGTCCTACTTACAGGAATTCATGTTAAAGTTTCAATAGTACTCCCTTTAGTAAAAATTATAGAACCTAGATATCCTAATGGTCATTTGGTTATAATATTGATTCTCAGTTGGTTGTAAATATATTTCTGATGGGATGTGTCTACCTTTCCTTTCAGGCAGGAAAGGCACAGTGGAAGTTAATATCCTAACAGATATGGTGGAACTTGCATCAGGTAGACACAGAAAAAAGACACCGGTTTATATGAATGGAGCTACAGGTGTTTTAACTTTTTAAACAAGTCTTTATTTAAGCTCAACTCAGTTTTTAAAAACTGGACTGTCTAATCACATTTGAGATGAAAAAGTAATGCTTCCTTCAACATCCTTGCAAACTTGGCTCATTTATAGCAAGCAGGCCAGTAAATGTGTGAATGGCCAAAAAATGGTCATCAAATAATCCATTTCATGAAGCTGATTGGCTAGATTTTCTTTAAAATTTTGTAGGCAGCAGTATGTTGTGAAGACAGGTGTCTCACTCAAGAAAAGCAGCTAGTCATTCCAAGCGAAATAGATGCTAAATCCTAAATTGAGCATAAATATCATTTGCTGTGATTTTGATCTCTCTGGATTTGGAGTTTTTATTTTTGTTTTGGATTTTTAATTGCAGATTCAAAGTGATTAAGCAGGATTGTAAGCACTATATGCAACATTTTGCTGAGATTTTTCTCTTTCAGTGATTATCCAAATGGATATTGAGACTGGTAAGGAACCAAATCTAAAACGATATTGAAATGCAAATGATTCACAGTTCAAATTTTAACATAGAACAAAGGAAGGGACATTTTTATGTGGAATTCAGAATTTAATCAATGCAAATTTTCATTTGATTATCTGAAACATGCACAGAAGGCCCATGGCTAAAGAGGAAACATGCACCCTTTTAGAAATTTCAATTTTATTTAATAAGTGTTTATCCTTGTAGCATATAGAGACATAATTTGATATATATTTTTTGAATCATACTCAAAGCAAATTTAATTTTTAATTTTTCTCAAACAAATGCAAGCGAAATCAAAGCTCTCTCTCATGAAATTACTATGGGTACTTCTCGAAAGATGAGAAGTTAAGGATTTATACATAATTTTTACATATCATTTGGAGATGGTGAAATGGCTTATTGAAGTAAAATTTTTTAAGACATTAATTAAATAATGCTAGTAAGATTTAATTCAGGACTCACTGTTCTTTGTTATAAAAGAGAATTATGTAAAATCCATATGAATATTTTACTGTTCACAACTCTTACCAACAAATCTTTATTGAGAGTCTAATTTGTTACACATGCTGTGCCAGACAATATCCATGTAACCATGAATTACACACAGACCTGTCACTGATTGTCTCTAATCCATTAATGTTTTATAAATTTCAAAGTAAAGAAGTACCACAAACAGATTAAGATTCTCTAGTAGACAATGTAGAATCCTCTGGGGAAGAACCATCATCTACATATGTCAAAGTAAATTTTTCAAAGTCAAAAACATTTACAAACAAAATATATAGTGAGTACATAGCCAATATTTAATTGAGTACTAATGGCACTAGCACAATAGTAAGATGCCAAAGGCAGATACCTATAGCTAGTCAACATAAGAAAGAATCTTGCATTGAACTGAGACCTTACATATAACATTGGTTGATAGCCTGATATGCAAAAAAGCCATAAATTATGAACTTATATATTCCACCAGACAGAAACCATCC